CACAACAAACATCTTTTAATCTCGAGACTTATCCTACTGATGGTAACGCTGCTCCTTGATCTCTGTGTCACCTAATAGAAATACACTGAAGAAATTCTCAGCATTTTCAGACTTCAATCAGCACATTTATTATTCATACAGCAAATTATTTATTCTCAAGTACTGTTTTCAATTAAAACATACCAAGTGTCTAACCTTTAGTTACTTATTAACTAAACAGCTGATAGTCCTTGTATTACCCCAGTAGCACACAATTTAAGTAAAAGCAATGAACGCACACGTTCATTCAATAACTGTGGCTCCATCACTCATCATTACTTTCTGACAGGTATTCAAATATCCTCATATTGTTAATTTTGAGTAACGTAAACCAGATGAAAAACCATTATAAAACATTATAAAGGCATCTGCAAGGAGGAAATGTACCTCCTCCGTGACTATGGTACAAGTGCACTGCATTTAAACTGCATTGTGAGTATTGCTAAATTTAACTGACGTCTCAAAAAATTACACACGACACTGAAGGCCTGTAGCCTGATAATCCATTGAGCCACGCGCCAACTCCCAAAGATATGACAACAGACGTCAAAACTTTAACCACAGACAGTTCATAAGTTTGCTAGAGTAAAACTGAATGTGGTGGTTTTGCGACTCAGCAGGCACAACTGGTCCACGAGTCCATCTTAAGAGAGGTGACAGTAGCAGCAGCAAACCTACCCACGTAGATAATCGGCCTCAGACACTTCAGACCAATGTTTCTCAACTGGCAGGTAACAAACCCCTGGGAGGTCTTAACATATCATTTACATTTAAAATTTAAAACACAGCTATAACCTTACAAACAGAAAAGTTATGTCGCTACTGCATCATTTCCCATTACTGTCCTCTAAACATTACAAGCTGGAGAAACTGAAGTCTGGGCACCTAACACTCACCATCAGAACACTCCACTTGAAGTAGCACATCTGAAGCCAGAACCCAAAAAGAGCAGCTAATAAGTTACAACTACTCTAACAAAGTTCTCTTAAGACTGTTCATGCAAAACCATCAGACAGCTGACAGAAAAGTAAATTAACTTACCATCAGCTTCATCCCCAGTCCTTGTCATGGCAGCTACATCAGCAAGTCTTGATGGCGACGTATCTCCTACAACTGCAGAGTGCTTGGCCGCAGACAATGACCTGAGCAGCATACTGTGGGGTGTTAGAGATGGGCCTCCTTCAACCATTGCCTCCTCTTTGACATCGGGCACTGGTTCCTCGGAAACAATGGTCTCCACATTTCCAAAGTAATCCAGCCTCCTCGTCACATCTGACGCAGGACTCTCCATTTGCACCACTTCATCATCAGCATTGCTGAATGTAATGGGGTTGCTCTCCTCCTCGACTGTCGCATCTACCTCAAATACTGCTTCATCTTCTGGCTCCTGTTTCACAGGAGCTGCACCCAAACTAACAACTTCACAACCAATCTGTTCTTCACTTGATTTTGTTTTTACCTTTTCTGCATCTGGAGGTTCCACTGACTCTTCAGTTGACACGTGGCCACCGACACTGACGCGACGTGGAAATGCTTTGCGTCTTTTGGCAGACGGCGGTTGAGGAGATGAGGATTGACGATTTGGTTGATCTAATTCTTGCTGACTGGATTCAACTGTCAGTGTCTGATGTTGTGGGAAGGCCGACTGTTGAGACTGCTGACTGCCTGAAGACAGCTGATAAGATGCCGACTGATCCAAGGTTGCTGAATTACGATACTGAATGGATGTGGAATGCTGATAGGAAGAAGGTTGCGTTACTGTTGAACAGTGTTGATGTAAAGTCGTTGATGAATTCAGAGCAGTTGGTTTAGTCTGGACGAGGGAAAATGATGAAGAATGAGGCTCTTTAAGAGTCATCAGTGGGCTTTTTGAGATGGGGTGAAGGGGAGCTGTTTTACTGCACGTCTGTAAAGGAAGTGACACGGCTGGAGGGGAAGAAAGTGGGGAAGTATCGTGTCGCAACTGTCCAGCAGGTGTGAGCAACGGTTTCTTTGCTTTGCATTGTTTTGGCTGCAGAGGAAGAAACAAATTTTCCTTTCAAATAGGATTTATGGTAAGTACATACTTCTCTGTTCAAATGTTTCTTATATCTTGCAAATTTAGGAGTACCATGTCGCCAATCTCTCAAGTGATGAAACACAAATTTTAAAGAATTTTATACTTGCTCTTGTACTTCAGAAAAGTAAACAATACCTCAGTGTAATTTTTTTTTAAGTTTTCATAATCACAGAGAAACACTCAACATATTTATTTGATGGAGAACAGTCTAATGGTTAATTCTGATATGTTATAGACAGACGGCCAACGTTGCACCAAACCAAGTCTGTTCAACAAAACAATGAACAAACTTGTAGTTTACGGACCTGCCCTCCAAAAATATAACCTACCCACACTTACGCTAATAAACTTCAAGCATTCATTTGATTACCCAGTGACATAAGCATGCTTAATTGCAACAAAGGACTCACTGAATCTTTGAACGGATTTGTCGCACCAGCCAGACCACGAACTTGCAACAGCTCAGCTGTGTGTAGGAATGACGAAAGCCTGTCCTGAGTGATGTACACCTCACCTTGATACATGAAGCTCAGCAGCGCACAAACATCATCATAACTCACATTCTTCAGAATTACTATCGGATGCTGACAAGGATTCTCCTGCAATTGTGACATATAACCGCAGCATTTGCATGCTTTACATTATACCAACTGCACACATTATTTAACATTTAGTAAAGTAAAACCATAATTATGATGAAATGAGTAGGACAGGAAAGGAAGCTGTCACACCTATTTAAAGTTACTATCCTGTCACTTAGCTGGAAGAAGAGAGAAAATAATCAAACATGGTTTCCCCAGCTAATCAGTAACCTCCTGATGCAATATCACAGAATTAACAGCTCTGTAGATGTGCAAGATGAAACAGTTACTAGCAGTTCCTTTCTTCTTGTGTAAAAGGTCTGGGGATTTGATTATCAACATGGAGATTTTCTACTCTGACTGAGGTTTTCTGAATTCCTTCAATCAAATGGTGGCATAATCCTCAACTGCTTCCATTTTATAATTCAACATGATCCTACTGTTCAACTGTATAACTAATGCATTTTAAATATACTTGTACATTCAAGTTCTCACCTTGAAAACGCCTCGGAAGTACGGGCTGCAAGCTGAAAGCACTACTTTGTGAGCTTTCACATTTTGACCCTCACAACTTAAGGTGACATCCACCAAATCTTCATCTGTTTTTAAACTATCCAAAGCAGAAGCAATGTTCAGTTGAAAGTTGTTCCATCGTAGGCAAAACTGATCAGCTGCCATGGTGAAATTCCTAATATTGAAGAACACAATACCAGAATATGTCCTACACAAACATAACATAAATTAAATTAAATTAAATTAATGTACTCGCTTACTAAATGTTTAATTAAATATAGAACTATCCTAAAATGCAGGAAAAAAATAGTTTACTTCACCAGTACAACCACTGAAATTGGTTAGCAATTAATTTCCAATAAAGTATAAGTAATTCACTGCCACACCATGAAAATATACCCTAAGTAAGAAATGACACTTTGTAAATTTGTTTAGGAAAGTTCGGGGAAACATAGAAATATATGATGTACATTGTGTGATGTCAGGAGATCTACATCGATCTATACCTAAACTCAAACTGTACCTAACATATGTTAAAGTTAACACACTGCATATCTTAAGCCAATATGTTAACCTTAAAACTAGTGCAGTAATAATAGCTACCTCAGTCCGACATTCTGGTTTAAAAAGACAAACATGCTTCACAGCATAACTGTATGTCCACAATTCATGTTTCCTGCACTATTTACAAACGTACAGCTTTAAAATGTCATTTGACAATAAGCACTTCCTTAAAAACACAACATACGGTGCCAAAACGCCGTTTTTATAGCATCTCATGGAGACACTGCAATTTTTCATAGTGTTTCAAATTTAAGCCCAACTCCAGAGTGCATGAAACAGCACTCTTCTTAGAGGGCCTTACAATGACATTTATAACTACAGTGAATTGAGATTAACCTAAAAAATTACAGCTCCAAATGTCAATGTTAGTACTTACTGAAGCCTTCATCTCCTAAGTATTTTGTATTCCGTACACTTTAAACTAGGAAACGCTGACAAAAAGTTCTGTGTATAATGCATATATGTACATATATTACGCATAAAAACATAAATCTACTCTACTTATATTATACATACCACAAAATGACGCCGTTAACCCTCAAGCATATGATAGATGGAATTTATACAAAATAATACCTTCATGCAATTTTTTCCTAACAATGCACTCGCTACGAGGGCTATACGTTACATTTATTTCGTAAAACAGAATCGTACTCTGAATCACATATTGCACCTTCTTTTAATTCCACAAAAACTATAAACTTGCAGTTATGTGAAACGACCTAATTGGCAAAGATCATTGCTACCAACTTGTGAATAAGTGATTGACACAATCCAATAATTTGATTGTTACATGCAATCGAATATTTCGAAACTATTAACTGCTGAATTCCGTTCATATATAACCTAGACCGTCCCAGAATACTTGAGATGGAGGCTAACGTAAACTAGTACCTCCGAGTTATGCTAGTAGGGCCTAGCCACACAAATCAGAGGCCATCTCGGTCCGTTGACATCCATGTTACGGCCTGAGGGCGAGTAACTGATACCAGTGGCGTTTAGGAGAAAAAGGCTTAATAAAGATGAATCCTATTAGTACTTGGAATTTATATGTTTAAAATATGTCAATGTTGACCCTCTGTGAGGTTAGACCATGTGGGCGTTCAAGGTAGATGTTTCGTAGGAACATACTACCTCCGTCTTCAGGGCTGAACCTCAAAATTAAAGTAGGGGAAGAACATATTGCACAGATTTTTCACCATGTGCATACCACAGCATAATGTTAATTTTTGGTTTCTCTGGGAAGGACTTGTTACCTGAATACAAATTCTGTTAAATTTGTTGGCAATAGAGTGAAAGGTTCAAGCTGTCACAATGTCAGTGATCTTAATGTATAAATAATACCTCTATGCCAAATTCCAAATTTGTAGCTCCAACAGTCCATCAGTTGCCTTTTTCAACTTGAAAGCTACATAGACTTCATGCAGCTGCCATGTATTACATCCTACAAAAGAACTGCATACATAATTTCATGAATATTACATAGAAGCATTGTCATAGAATGGCAGTCTATACACAACAAATAAGTAGAGCTTTCACAAACAGTAATTACAATGTAACAATGTAGAGACCGCATGGTTATCCAACAAGCCAATGTTCTTTCCCCGAGAAAGAAAATCAAGCTAAAAAAGAAATGTAAATGACGGTGGTGGTTAAAGACTGCTTAAGAAATCCAGTCAGCCTCATGCTGCAAATCTGAATGGAAAATAGGATAATACCAATGCACCTATAATTCTCATACAAGATCTAGATGAATATATGCATTCTTTGGCCCAGTTCTATACATTAAGACTGATATATTATTAACAAATAATGAGCATTTTAATTTGTACCTTTGTAAACAAAACATATGCTTCAAAGGACCAACAGGGTGAAGTGTCTAAATTATCATTACACCGATATTTATTCTATAACATATTTTGTAACATCTGCAGTATAATACATATTTGCAAAATTTAACACAATTTCTATAATAACCTTCTGTGAACATAATGAACCAGTTGCTTGTATACAGATACAATGAACATATTTTACACAATTACCATTTTATAATCTAATTACAAATTATGGAAGCACTCAAATATTGTCTTATGTCTTTTCTGATGTCTTAAATTACTACACAACCATAAGATTAATTTCAAGATTTTTATTTACTGCCTACTTTGTTACTTCTTTCAACATCCTAACTTGGGTGAATCATAATGGTATCAACGCATTTGTCCCTTTCTTAACAGATTCATTTTTACATCAGTTGTTATTGTCTGTTCTTCCTACACTATTCTACCAGTAAACAATACAAGATTGAGAACGTCCAGAAACACAGTTTCCAAAGGAAAACAAAGGTTACGCTTAATACTTTGAATGCTACCATCATAATGAAAGGGCAAAAAAAATACAAAGCTTGAATAAAAATTATATCATACTGTTCCTACCTCTCTCGTCATATTTTAGACTTAAATTAGTATGTACTGAAAGGGTTTATCATCCTTAATTTTAACTAATTTTGTATTATAATTATCTGACTTTTGTGTTAATTTAATTTGAATAGAAACATTACCTTAATTTAGTAATTAGCTGGTCAGGGAGTTGATGTGCAAAGTTTACATACATTTCTATTTTGAAGGAATAATACTGAAATGTCTTTACAGGGATATTAAAAATAACAGGGAAAAATTGAAACATAACTGAAAATAAGAGACCAATAAACTGAGGGGCAGATGGGTGAATAGTTACCCTTCAATGAAAATTTTTTTTTTCACCCTGGGCTGAATAGGCATTATTAAGTACTTGACAGATTAACACAGGACCTCAGGCAGGTAGCTATCAATTGTAAACAACAGAGACATGGCAAAAAGAAAGAAAAGGTATGTTTCTTCTGCTCTTACCTCCATAACATAACGCGAGGTCCTTTGATGACAAGTGAATGAACTTCCAATTGCTGGCAGAACAAAGGCTGCCATAACCTCTAGGTCTTGTTCTGACTGCATGCTTATTGATCAGTACTGTAGATGACAATTAATCAACTTCATGCAGTACAGTCCTTCTTGAGAAGCTGATAGTGTCTCGGCTAGTCAAGAAATTCTTGCCTTTAAGGGACTCAAAGGTTCATTACTGTACTCACAAAAGCCTGCCACCATTCCTATATCAATCACTGCAGACGAAATTAAAAATGTGAACATTTGTCCTTGACAAGGGAGCATTCACTTGGATGTATCCTATCAAGAAATGCAGGAATATTAAAGTCACTCAGTTACATAACTATCTGCCTGTTAAAGAACCCATTGGTTAGCTCCTATGTAAACAAGAGATAACTTGTAAATATCCAACAGATATTATTTGTAATGGTACTCTGCATAAATGACTGAAATTTCAGAAACCAATAGCCATTCAGCTGGTAAATAAACCCAGAAGTTCATTACCATGGCCCCTGTTCTCATACCGATTTCAAAATTATCCTCCTACCTATGCCTAACCTCCCAATGTGTGCTCATTTCACCCTCCTTGATATGTTAATCCAAATGTTTGGTGAAGAGTTCACATTTTGAAATCATGAAGTTCATCATTATGCTACTGCCCACTCTTATATTCAATTGTGGGAGCTGCAGGTATATTTATTTGAATTTCTTAAAGGGTACTATTTATTTATAATTAATTTATTTTCTGCTACAAAGTTACGCAAAATTTGGAGATGTAACATTCTTTTAATTTTTGGAACGAAATAAAAAACAACTAGGGTCGAAATCACATGTGACTTAGTGGCATTACCTTCTTGTTTCTATGCTGAAATGAAACTACACAAGTGTCTGCTTCTAGCAGAATGCACTGCATTACCTCAACCGGATCATTTGCTCAACCACAGAAAATACCTCAGGCTCCAATCAACACCATCTGGTTGCTGTAGGTTGTGTTCAGTAGTTACATTTCTCTTGAAAAGTAAATGAACTTTAAAAGGCATGCAGGAAGAACTGAACATGAGAACCTGAAAGAGAGTCAATGATTAGAAAGTGGAGAAAGCTTCATAATAAGTGACCACAATCTAGTACTGTTACACTGATTAAATCAAATATGAGATGCACAGGATATAAAGCATGCACTGGGGAAACAAGAAACTCTGGGAACCAAAATATAAATAGGAGGAAAATATTAAATTAGATGTTAAAAATGCTGGGTGAAAATATGTTAATTGCAATACAATGATCTCTGAATTTCCTGATCAGCTGAATGAACTTGCTGTGAAGTTTCTCTGCTCCACTGTCATGACTCAAATGGCAGGGGGCAGCAGAGTTTTGCTCATCAGAGTGGAACCAGTCTGACACACAGTGCGGCAGTTCCTGAGGCTGTCAACATGTCACTTTGCAATTTAAAGAATATTGGTATGGTAAATGGCAGGATATCATTGTGAAAGTAAGAACTGATGTTTAGAAGGATACAGTTTTGGGACATTTAGATGGAATGAGAGTGAAATTCTATGATTGCCACTCCTCCCCGCTCCCCCAACATTGCACACATCACTAAACATTTGCCTCTTTGTTCATCTATGTCATTCCTTGGATCTCTGTGTTTCTCTCAACTATGATAGAATATGAAGCAAGCAATACACATCTGTCATGCACATTTTTGAATCACAGATCATAATATTTATACACAGAATGAAAGACTGTCAATCTGTGAAAAAGTAGTTACGTTTGCATTACTCTCTCTAAAATATATGAACATATTAAAATCTATTGCAAGCAGTTATGTTACCAAATTCTCATGGGCTGACAAATCAGAAATATAAAACATCCACTCCTTTTCATCAACAGACATACAACAGAATGTTACAAACATTCTTAACAGACCTTGGTAACCATGAAAAGGCAACAAATACTAACTTTTTAATAGTGACAACACTGCCAGCATAATTACTTTCACTTTTCTAAAACACCACAGATATATGTGATGTGACTTTACTTAGTGTTAATGCTGTGTGCACTTGTAAGTAGATACCAATGTTTTGCACAAACATGCCACCTCCATCTTCAGGGCTAAGAACCCAGTTCCTCACAAGTGTTAGCATCTACCTACATGGCATTACAACCCAGAACAATAACAATGGCATCTTCACCAACATGAGAACCAAGAAATACGAACGTGACTAGTGGACCTCACCAACATATCAACAATACACGCTTTTTCCATAATTTTAAATATGGTATTTTGCACACATTTTATACAACATTACATTTACAGTGCAGTAAACTGCACATCATGTTACTTTCCTTCTCTTCATGTATTTCCAACATATTCTTAACAATAAATATTTTACTACCTTAATATACTCACATTTCATCTCTGTTGTTAAGACAATAGATTTCTTTGGTAACAACCCATCATATAATTCATCGTAAAACTTGTCACTCAGATAAAACGCTGTACACAGGAATAATTCCATATCAATACATAATGACCAATTCCAAAATTGTGTTCTTCATATTTAGTTGGTTACATACACAATACTCAAGAAACGCACTTTAATTACATTATATGAAAAGGAAGAGTAAGGGAGAAAGAATTAAAGAACATCAGAGATTCTGGAGCCTGCTACTGAAAAGTAAACAAACATGAAAATTAGTAAGTGATGGTCTCTTGCTGCAAGTCCTTCATGTACGTGTTTTCTCCTTTCTAATCTCATGCGACATAGCTATAAAGTAGCTAATAAATTGCCCATCAACATTGACAGGAAAATCTAAAATAGTCACAAATATCCTATGAGGCCGAAAATCCCTTAACAGCAAATGATCACCAATCAAGGTACCAACACTTAACTATTACAGAGATAGATGTTATGCTTAAAGCAGGTGTCAGCACTGAACCCGAGGAGATATGCCAAGATACGCAAATACAGGGCTAAAAACAAACACTGGTCATGTCTCATATTTGTTACAAAGACTGAGGGTAAGTGATGAAGAGAATATGGACAAGAGAGCAAAATACAATCAAAATTTTCAGAGGACAGTAATTTTGAAACTACATTTGTAAAACAAATTGAGTTTAAAAATCATTAACAGATAATCTGCACAGTAAGGCCTTTAAAATTATTTCCAGTCAATACACCCGAGTAGCGAGAAAGGGGAGAGCAGTGACCAGTTAGAGACCCTGTAAAAATACAGACAAGGTAACACTAGCTACAGTAATTTCCCAATGGGACAAGGAAACAAACAAATTGCAAGAGGAATATGAGGAATCTGGATGGGTTCTCATGACACAGGTTAAACCTACACTCAATCTTATTTGATACTTTAATCACATGTTGGTAGAGCTGACCTGTTAACACCCTAATTATTACAAGTCACTCCTGATTTGTCCTTTTAATAATGTTGATCAGTGACACTGTATGAATTTTTAGTGAATAAAGGTACATTATAAAAAAACAAACTTCGTAACACAGTAAAAATGTTTTTACTGCAATGTGTCATAACTTGCTACCTAGCTTGTGCAGCAACCTAACCTCACAGCAGAGATGAAAACTTTTGAAACAAACATTTGAACCGAAGTTAACATCTCACACAAAATCATTTATTCACTCTACAGAACCGAGATCAAAAGGAACTGTTGCAGTAAAGTGATACCACAATTGGTGATAGACATGCACCAGTTCTTGAAGTAATTCTAACAAACAGTAAACTTGTAGGATGTTCTTTCTGGGTCCAGCACCAAACCGACAGCCTCTCCCCACCCTGTCAGATAACAGATGAATTAATCTGTTTACTACTACTAAAACATACACCCAAGATTCTTTCATCATGTCACAAACTGTTGTTATAATGTCCTGCACAGTGACAATACAAAGTTTATATTTATATGTGCATAAGAGAAATTACAGTAAAAGCCTTCATACTTAAGGTAGAATGTGTTAATGCAAATGATTAATCTATTTCAAATATGTGATGTGCTAAAAAATATGGACCTACCAAAGATTCTTACTATACTGAACTCAGCTGCCAGACAGTGAACCACAAGATGTTCTTACATTCATATTTCAAATGATACAGAATCAATAACGATCAGTGTTAAGACGACGCAGTATGTTGACACTGTCAACTTAAAGACTACTGCAACTTTTCCATTATATTCCTAACAGAACCTGACACAGTTGTTATGCACCTAGTTAAGAAGTTACTGGTACAAGACAAACTTCATCCTAATGTTTTAACTTTGCAATTATCATTTAATTAAAATGCTATCTTGACATACTTTCAACCACCTGAAGTACAGTGTCTCTCAAATTTCTTATGCATGCAAACACACAAATATAAAATATGTGGATAACGTAGAGCCAAAAACTGTTTCAATAACTAGATGTCACCACTTCCAATACCACTACAATTCACCACATTCATTTTTTCACTCTAGCAACCACCAAAATATATCCAACATTTGCACTATAAATAAATGTTATACTAAATACTGTAATATAAATAAAAAAACAGTGTTATACCTTCTTCAATTTATTTCATCTCATTAACTTGCCATTTAATACAATTCAACAGTGCCTTTATTTTCATTATGTATTTGGTGTTTTATTTCCCACTACAACAGCTACTCAAACTTCCCTGAAATCATTATATTTTTAAAAATCAAAATACAGTCATAGTATACCATTACATGAAGAAGTAAAATGTGTGGACAATGTTTCCATAGCCTATCAAGGCAATTCTAAGACTCAGCCTCTGGAATTACATACTGGGCACTATACACTTAATCCTGTTGAAACACTTTGTATCTTAACTATCAGATACTACTGTATACTGTACATTCAATAAGTGAATCAGTAAAATTTATCATAACTTTATATAACGAATTTTAAACTTCATATTCATAAATGAAATTGAAATGTCAACACATAATATGAATGTTGGAAATACATTTTTGTGTAATATAGCAAATGCTTCTACAGTAACAAGGTCTAGGAATACAGACAGCTGTATTGTGCTGCTCGCTATGTAGTATTTATATCACAAGCAAAATACCATTAAACAGAACCAATGAGATGTGGGCCTCCAATGCAATAATACAACCTTCAATATTCACCTTCAAGAGTTACTTACACCCTTTTGGTTTCTAAACCTACTGGCTTTCAATGCACTTGTTCCATTCTCACGCCAGTTGGAAGACAAAAATTTGGCCAGTTACCTTCGACAAATCAACCCATCTAGCACAGGACTTACCGTACAGTGGCTAGCATACCTCGCAGGTACACGATCCTGACTGCTTTACCCTTTCTGACTATTGGTAATCACGGTAATAACACCTCCAGGCCCAGGCAATGTTGAAGAACCCATGAGGAACGCATCCACTTCACGCGCTGCCTGCCGCCCTTCCGATATTGCCCACACGACCAGGGACTGCCCACGTCGACAATCTAAACACAGAAAGATGGGCCGTTACCGTTCCTGCGGTTGGCTTCACGCCCTGAATTCTAAATTATTAAACGTTACAGATTACATAACTGGCAGGCAGTTTATTTAGCAATGCAGCATTAACTGCTATGGTAGTCGCTTGTGTACAATTATAAATAGGGTCTGACAAATTTTGTTTGTCAGAATGGCAGAGCATCTGATAATGTTACTGTAAGCTGGAACCAGGACAATACAAAATCAATAGCATGAGCATCCATCTATTCCCTAAATGCTTATCCAGAAAGCAGAAGCTCCAATGATTCGCAGAACATGCCACTCTGCTGTGTAGGGTGAAATTCCAATTTTAAATACCATCAAAATCCATTCTGGGAAAGAAAAGATGTTCGCTGTTATGTGTATTTGGTCATTATAATGGGTAATTTTCTGCTTCTCATAAAAAATAATATAATTATTAGCTTGATGGATGTATCTTATTTACCAAGAATATGACTGATAATTAGAAATGTTTTCTCAAGATTGATTACTTCCTCTACAATCCCCCCATCTTCATCTTCCCTGCAGTACAGTGACACAACAAACAAAACAGTACCTCCAGCAGCGAACACCTTTGGGACTGATGTGCAATAACGACCGCTTGGAGTGTGATAGTTGCTTCGTGGGTCCAGAGTCAGGTCAAGCTCAGAGGAAATGTACTTTTCAGGCCCCAAGAATCCCATTGCAAGAAGCACTAAGTCACACTTATAAACCTGAAAGAAAAACAAAGTTGTTAACTCTTTGCCACATATAGCTCCATGTCTCATCTGCCAAACGAGCTGCTAAACTGCGGTCGGTGGGATGAGAAGAAAGTGGCCACAATCATAAGTGGCTCTATTTACTTTCACCAAGCATTTTTAGTTCAAGTTCAGAACTTGGAATTGAGTATGTGAAAAGCCCTTCTAGTATCAGTATTCAAGGTCTGTGATGTAACAAAGCGATTGTGTGTGACAATCAGGTACCCCCGAGACAGATTTTGTTAGACACAAAGATATGATGGTCGTGACAATGACACCTCTGAACAATGTTGAGGGCCTGATTTCTTCGTATGTTCAATATCTCCTCACAGAATTTCATTTACAAATCAGAATTTTCATCTGCCAAGACATCCAGAACGCTCTGTAATATGCAGTAAACTGTTCAATATAATCACACTACCTTCTCCGAGTCTGGAGCTTCCTCCATTTTCCAGCGTCCAGTTTCATCTTTCGTCCAGTTCACAGTCACAGATCTGATCCCTGCTACGTGGCCTTTACCGTCATCAACAAACTCCTGCAACATTTTGAAACGAAGAAATAAAAACACCAAATTTTAACATAGTCAGAAACTGTAACTACTGGGGTATAAGAAAACTCACGCTGGTTAACACACAATCAGATAAAAACAATGCATGTAAGATAGTTCTACATAGGCAGCATTTTAATCCAGCGCAAAATACCTCTTCTCTGATTCACACATATATAGATTTAGAAAGGAAATAAACACGTTACCTTGCTGAGTGTACTGAACTGGCGAGGATCTCGGCCAAACTTCAGCTGCACCTCCTCATGGCCATAGTCTACTTTGAATACCCTTGGGAACTGGGGCCAAGGGTTGTCTCTAGCCCGCTTTCCTGGTGGTTCTGGAAGGATCTCAAACGTGGTGATAGATTTGGCCCCCTGAAAAAAAGGACTGAATCAATTACAGACTGTGGATCTTTAGTTTGTATGAGGACATCTTATTGTCTCTCACTTTGAAGGAGGAACACAGATTGAGGGTCTTTAACAACAGAGTGTTGAGGAAGATATTTGGACCTAATGATGACATTCATGGCCATAACTCCTCAGCATAAATACTTCTGTTGGGTGACTACGACACAATCCTATTAGCACAAATTTATTATCGACAATATGAAGGAACAGTACAGTTACACGTGTGTTATCCTTACCTTCCTGGGTAACAATCCATGTTAGGTGACACGGCTCTGATAAAACATGTTTTAATTCAACATTCAAAATTTAAAATCCAGGAATCTTTGTAAGGATATGGGACATTAACACAAATCAAAGATAAAACATCAGACAATTCACCTGTCTAAGAGACGTAGCAATACAGTCGCAGCCAGTGTCACCTCCACCAATAACGATGACATCCTTATCCTTGGCCAAAAGATACGGCTGATCCACAATATTGCCCATCTGCTTCTTCTGCCAGCTTTCAAGGAATGTCATAGCAAAATGAATACCTTCCAGCTGTCTTCCAGGAATAGGTAGGTCACGAGGCCACGTGGCTCCAGTGCACAGTAATAATGCATCATACTCCTCATACAGATCCTGTAGATGATGAAAGAGAGCTACAAGTTAGGATGCCTCTTGCGAGACGGCTCGCCTCTGGGTGTAAATATATGCATGGCATGACCTACAGTTTGAGCATGAGCTCTTTAGCCCAGCTGGACAGGGTACAAGGAGAGAGGAGGTGGAATAAGAAAGAGCATCAAAGCCAATCAGAATTCCACTGCTTATCTGGTGTACGCAAGTAACGTCCACCCTGAAAATATGTTTCTGCAGTGAGAAGCCAGTAACTAGCAGCTTGTTGTTAATGATGGATACTAAAGGAAATCAGCACATCGACTGTGCAAGCAGAGCAAACGCAAATCTGGTCAATACTTTCAGTCTGAGTAATAAATACCTTGGCTGAAATATCCTTGCCAACATTAATGTTCGTTTTGAACTCGATGCCTTCCTTGGCCAAAAGCGAAACTCTTCTCTGGACAACTTCCTTGGACAACTTCATAGTCGGTATGCCATACTGCAGCAACCCACCGACACGATCATTCCGCTCAAACACAGTCACCAAGTGCCCAGCCTGGAATACGTTACAATAAAATACCCCCTTCCTTTCGTAATATTATCAACCACTAACATCAGGCTTTAGGTAACTTACATACAACAGGCAAAAGGATAAACACACTACAAGAACAGTTATGATTTAAACTCCGAAGTCCACAGCAAAGTACGGTCACATCATGTTTGTGTTAGTTAGTTGACCTTTCTTCTTATTGGTTCATTGTACATACTTGTTCATTATACCCGTTCAAAGATTTATATCACATGCGGAACTCACTCTTCCTATGCAAGTCTGTTTGCTCAAGGATGTCTGTACCACCAAAACACACGTTACAGCTTCAAGCTACAAAGTAACTGAACTCAAAATTATCAGCATTAAAAAGCATACAAGGACACATCTTCTAGGACAGGGATTAATGATTGCTTTGAATTATACCTTGTTTAGCTGGTGAGCGGCTGCCAAGCCTGATGGTCCAGATCCAACAACTGCCACCTTCTTCTCTGTCCTAAGAACAGGCAGTTCTGGATTAATCCAGCCTTGTTCAAATGCATGATCAATGATGGCACACTCAATGTTCTTGATGGTCACTGGTGGTTCACTGATTCCTAACACACATGCGCCTTCGCATGGCGCAGGACAAACCCTCCCGGTAAACTCTGCAACAGGAAGGCGGTAGAAAACGGAAGCTTTTGAATTTCTAAACGCATGTAGAAAAACATTACCTAGAAATAATTATGTTTAAGAAAGTGGCAATTACCTGGGAAGTTGTTTGTCTGCAACAGTTGATTCAGAGCTTCTTTCCAACTGTTGTGGAACACAAGATCGTTCCACTTTGGGATGATGTTGCCAAGAGGACAGCCATGAGAGCTCTGGCAAAACGGAACACCGCATTCCATACACCGTGCTGCTTGTACCCGCAGTCCCTTGCGGACGTGCCCAAAATTATAGATTTCTTCCCAATCTTTCAGTCTCTTCTCTGCAAGGCGATACATCCCTGTCTCTCGCTTGTACTTAATAAAACCCCTACACAGAGACAAACAAATATTAGCTTTCAACGATGTAATGAACAATTGTATTCAAAATTTCATTTATGTTTGATAACCCAAGGATCCTTCATTTTCAGACCCCACTGGCAAAGATATTTCAAATTTTTACCCACCTACTGAATATAAACTACATGTTCAACTTCTCTTCCGTATGTCATAAATTAACAATTGGTCTGTTTACTGCCATTGTAACAAATCTTCTTTCATTGTACCTCTACCACTAACATGATGTTCTTGTTTCAAAGTCAGTAAATGTATTCTCTCTCAGATAATGATTCAATCTTCCATTTCATGACCCCCTTCCTTAAGTCGCTTTACAAATGCAACTTTATGTTGGTACAACATGTCACAAAAGTAGTAGGTGGTTTCAGCATTTAAAATTAAAGCAAATAATAATAATAAAAAATGAATATAATGAAGACATGAAATATATAAAAAAGGTTCGTTAACAGTACTAACACGGATGTTTGATGAATCATGTGTGAAGTGACTGTCAGTCATGTGGAAAAAATAAATATTTGTTATTCACATCTGATAAACAAATTAACATTGCTATTCATCATCTAGTTCTTGCCTTGTTTTATCAAGAATCTTATCAAGCCGCTTCTTTTCAAATACTCCGTCCAACACCGACTCTTCGATATCTCTGACTTTGGACTCGTTCAGTTTCCCGTTGACAGCCTGCTGCACCGCCTGTTGAGCCCCTTCCTCAGCCATCTGCCGCAACGCACGTTGGTATTCACATGGGAACACCTGAACAGGCACTCTGTGTACTGCCGCAACGCACGCTGGTATTCACGTGGGAACACCTGAACAGGCACTCTGTGTCAACTACGTATAGTGCGAATACCACCACACAAGATTTCATACCATTGTACCTACAATTTTTTTAAAACTTCATTATGTACGTTCATACCTTGACAAATCTGGAAGCAGGTGCAGGCCACGTTCTCAATAAATCCTCAGCAATAAGAGATCCAGTTTTCTCTTGGAACTCTTTCAACAGACTCTTCACATAATTAAGATCTTCCTCCAGTTCAAGTGGGAACAATTCTACCATCTCCATGTTGCATTTGCTGTGAGAGAGCTTTAAATTATATTTCTGCGAGTAGTCTTCACTAAAACTATTCTGTTCATAATTAAATAAAATATTTGCATGAGACCTGATAACTATCGTCAGGAAATACACACACTGGAGAAGCATAAAAATGGAATGTTTCTGACAACTGCTACTTGAAGGAGCTAGAGCAAAGACTACTTATGAAGGCAGAATCTTGTATTTTCTTGTCTCCTCTCCCAATACAATTATACTGATTTATCTGGGCAGCACAACTTGAACCTAAAAGAGATCAACTACTCATATCAAGGAACTAAATAAATGAAACGATTATGTTCAATCCTTGTGTTGAAACAGAAACACATATGACTAATCCAGACCTGAAACTTACACTACTGTTTATCAACATAACAACTTTACCTTCTGAAGGAATCGTCTACATCCAGAATATAGGCAATGCCGCCAGACATACCAGCCGCAAAGTTGCGACCTGTCAAGCCTAAAATCACAGCACAGCCACCAGTCATATACTCACAACCATGGTCACCCACACCCTGGCAACAAACAATTTATAACGCAAATCAATTACAAGCAGGAGAGAGCACATGGGGCAGTCTGTACAGTGAAAGCTCAAAATGCACTCGTGACATCTCGTAAATTCTCTGTATTCCCTTCACAGCCACTGAAATTAAACATTCTCTTCTTAAGATCTCTTTTTATGTAACTGAAATTAATAATCTTTGTGGCTGATTCTAAAATAATACTATCATTGCAACTTACTTACATCAATACAATTCAACTGCTTTCGTGATGTGCAAAGAAATCAATCTGTTTCTACGATTCACACAAAATCAGATATCCCAATATTCAGAAATTACAATTTCACTGAATTTTCATTACTTGCAAATGTTTCTGGGATTATGAAAGGTGACAAGAAAAAACTTCAACACCAGAGCAGACAGCCTCAAGAAAACTAAAAGAACTTTAAAAAGAACCTTAATCATGATAGATCAAAGACCAAATACCTACAAAGTATAAAATACAATCACTACACCCCAACCCCCCAGCACGGCCATCAGCGCAATTAACTAAAACACAATGCAATGGTATATGCAAAGAAAAGGAATTCAATTTAAAGCTAAAAATTTGATGGGCAACATTTAAAACCAAAAAACAAGCATTCTGAAAAACCAATTGTGGATATTCCATTTAACATACAACTGCCCCAGAAATTCTGGACATGCAGTCAACTGATTCTGTTAATCTCGGAGTCACTACTGACCTCTACGACAGCCACTGCTCCTGAGTTCCGCACAGAGAACCTCTCGCAGTCAACCGATTCTGTTAATCTCGGAGTCCCTACTGACCTCTACGACAGCCACCGCTCCTGAGTTCCGCACAGAGAACCTCTCAGCCGCGATACCTCTGAAGAACGCCTTTCCACTTGTAGCGCCATATAAGCACACATTGCCAACAATTACATTGAGTTCTGACTTGAAGTCTGGAGAGGAATCCCTTGGAGGATAAATGATGACTTCACCACCAGACAATCCCTGTTAACATTTACCCTCATAAAAACTGGAGTAACAGGAAGGAATATTAAATACAGCAAAAAGTCACTGGTCTGATAACACTAATCTGCATAATGAATACAATTACAATACACATTTCTTGTGAAATTCGTGAAAAATATATTCTAAAAGAATGTGGGTGTGACTGCACTGGGCTAACAAATGTAGGCAATGGAATACAATTTTAACCTCTCATTAACCTCATCAGTAACTTTTGCCTTTTGATAGCAACACACAAAATCCAGCAAATTTTAAACGTAACAGATAATCTGAGAGCACAACAACAAATGAAATAAAAGGACCCACATAACTGAAAACAAAGTGAGCCCTGAAGATTACATGAAAGTGTGAAAACGTGCGCTCGCAACATAAAATATCGTGTAGACGGGAACCAATGCCAAGTATTTAACACAAGACAGCCTGAAATACAGAGATCACGTTTTACTAACTGCTAACCTGTACAGGTAATGGAATTGTTTACCTTTCCCACGTAATCATTAGCATCTCCTTCCAGGGTGACATGAATTCCCTTTGTCATGAAGGCACAGAAGCTCTGCCCAGCAGATCCTGTAAGCCTCACATTGATGCTGCGGTCTGGCAATCCGGCATCACCACGTCTCCTGTGCAACACCACAGCCTCACATTGATGCTGTGGTCTGGCAATCCAGCATCACCACGTCTCCTGTGCAACACCATTGTGCAGTAGCAAATGATTCCTCATTAAAGGTTCTAAGAAGCTAATCTACAGACATATTTTTCATGGCTGACCCTCAAGGTAGACATAAAGAATGTCTGCATAATCAAAATTTGGCTAATTCTAAAGGTGACTGTTCATTCACTTAAACAGTTCACAAATCCAAGCTTCCTTCAACAGCTTTCAACATATTAGAACAATTATTAACAGTTACATAAAACTGGTTTATTAATTCCTAACATTACTTTATAAAAAAATTCAAGAACTAAAATAAATAAATTTCTGTGCACAAAACAATCAAATTTAAATCTGTTGTGAATGAAATGAGAAATCATACTGAACCAGAAATATCCTGTGTTATGTACATAGGGCTACTGTGTTGCCACTTATGAACCTTCTCGTCCTCTGCCTGCCCGGAATCCACTCCCAATGATAGGATGAAGGCAGAGGGTTCTACAACTTAAGGTGAACTCCAAAGCAAGGATGGGGCCTGGCATTCTTCGCACTCCCGAAGGCTAAGCCTCAGCTTCGATCTGTGCACAGAAAAATCTGCACCCAAGATCTGTCTGGGGATCAAACCCAGGACTCTCTGAACAATAATATGGAGTCTTACACAAAGACAACCCCCTCCCCCCAAAACAATAATTCTATATTGTAGCCGTCACCAATGTAAAGCGTGTACATTTCTCAGTGTTTGGCAAGTAACACCTGAGGGTGTTACCTGTGGTGTGTTTGATTCAGTAATGGCCAGTTTATATCTGCAATAAATGAAGAATGAGCCCAATGGATGAAGCCGAACTGCAAACATCCAGCATTTATGATTTTTTCCCCTCTTCTCTCTCCTGCCCCAACTGCCCTAAAAAGGGTTCATTCCTACTGGACTGAACACGACTCCGTCCCCCATCTCATTTCACAGCTCCAACTGGCCAACCCCTCCCCATATATCTCCTATCCCTGTATTAACCATCTATTTACACAACAATCCTCACTTCAGCACTGACGATGGAAAAAGTACGTTCCTCTGAAACGGCAACACATCCTACTTACAATCAGTGTCCGCACCCAAATGCAGGACCAACACTGATGATAAACTGCTGTAAAAGCTTAAAAATTGGTTATTCAGAATAACTGTGAGTGCCAAAATTGTAAAAATAAACTGGAACTCACCCTCAGATGTCACTAACTGAACCTACAATTGGAACAAAAAACTTACATTTGCAAAATATGAAAATAAGGCCAAATGATATATACATATATCAATATCTACAAACAGGTTTTGATACATACATGGAAATATGATAACTAAGGGTTGAAGCAAATGCACGGTCTTCGTTGGATATTTTCATCACAATATCGACCCTAGATTTCACTCCCTGCAAAACTGGGGCAGCTGCTTCTATCAGCTCATTGTCCAGCCTCTTCTCCAGCTGGAAGTCCTGCAAAGAAAAAAATCATTCTGCCGATTCCAGAACATACGAGTTCAATACAATATAAAAGTATAAAAACAAAAGACAATGAATAAGCTGTATGTACTGTTTTACTAATTTCTTTACTTTAGACTCTGAATCACTGTCGTTTGATTAAATTATCAGATCACGACATTTTGATTGCCTTCAGGTGTCAAAAGAGGAATCACCTATTCTGTTGGATCCACTCTCAATCTATGGACCACAGACTGACATAATTTCTGTCAATCAATGTGGATGAAGTACAATACGAAGCAATGGATGATGCAACACTCTCATCAAACACATTTAGAAATGTAATGTATTATTTTATGTTTGTATTTACACACTTCATTTATGTTTGAAACTATGACCATAGCTGTGTCAAAAATTAATTGAAAATTAGTATTTTATGTTTGTATTTACACACTTCATTCATATTTATGTTTTTATTTATCTGCACAATTAAAACCACTTGAATTTCATGCTACTCAAAATACAGAGCGAGTCATGACGGCCGCTGTGAACAGGATGGGTCAGGGTGAAATTGCACATGCCCCATCAAAGTCCAGCAGCTGAGAATGCTGACTTTCTTTGACATGCCTACAGACTGAACATACCTTGGGCTTCTCTGAAATGAATGCATACTTACAATTTTAACAGTTTATTAGCTACTGTAAGTGCAAAACACACTGCAGTCCATTTCATCGAAGTATGTAGATCAATAAGCTGCAACATGAACTGGACAGTATCACTGACGTCATCCATCTATACTGGTGATAATATAAACAGTACAACTTTCACATAGCAACAAAAATTCTGAAAATGAGATTTTTTTTTGTCTGACCAGTAGATACTAACAAGACGTACTTCTTCACTAATATCACTCTTAGAAACAGGCCACAAGACTTAAGCCATGGAAAGCAGTAAAACTGTTCTTGCACAGTGCAGCACTTTATAAACGTTCATCCTGGTACGAACCGTCTTAAGAACAGAACTATAATCACATTCCTCTCCAAAACAATAACAAAAATGTTCAAGGAGAGTTGAGGTAAGCATTTAAGCACCTCAATCCACGTAATTTTGAAAAGCGATAAAGTTTCATAAACTCTATAATTCAACATACTGGGTAAAGTCATAAAAATTTAAATGCCATCTGATTCATCATTTAATTACCTAATTAAATTCACTGTTAACTATAAATATTGTTCCAAAAGTTACAGATGTTAGTAGATGGTAAGTGTTCAAAAGCAGAAATGTTCCACTGGGAATTGTTGAGACGGTGAAAATACTTGTCCGAACAGAAAGAAGATCATGCGCAAACAAAGCCCCAAACCCAAGTGGCAACAACTGAACAGAAAGAAGATCATGCCTGGTCTGAACATGCGCAAGCAAAGCCCCAAACCCAAGTGGCAACAACTCAGCAGAGTTAGCGTAATGTAGACGTGAGAAGTGTGGCTCATTTTCTGCGAGGGCAACACACCAAGATGTTCATCACAAAGAAGACTTGCAAAGATGTGCGACAGCATGAGCACATTCCATGACAATAAGCCACCACACAGAGCCCAGTAGAATGCGTGGAAATTTTATCTCTTTAGGTCCCTCAAACAATATTTATTATGGCAGCAATCTGTGGATGATGTTATTGCAGCGGTGATAACGTCGTTGATCGCAAAGGGCTTCTGCAATGCACTGCTTTCCAGCCTCAAGAGGTAACAAATATGTAGAAAAATAATGTTATGCTGTCTTCATGCTACAGTCTCTTTGTGTACCTAACTTTCAGAATATCCCCCATATGTACTGATACATGAAGCTTCCTTCATGCTTGAACCGCAGTCAAACAATAACTGATGCACAGTTTACATCATACCTGCCTCTGGGAACCCCCAACAATGTTAACTCCAGGTCGCATATGCAGTGCGTTCTTCAGGATGAGGCTGAAGTTCAGTGTTTTGGCTTTTGGATTACCAGTATCACCCACTCTCAAAAGATCCGTGCGTCCGACCAGGTCTTGGAATTTTCGGACACCTAGACTTGCCATGTGGCCTCGAATCTGAATTGCAAGAAAAGAATAAAAGGTAATGTATACATTTTGGAGATCTGAAACATGAAATGCAACAAACATTTGAAATGTGAATAGATCGGAGACAGGGTCGTAGCAAAAGAACTATCGAACATTAAAAATATATCTGCTGTCTAGATCATCCCTCATATTGGCTGGACCTTCTGTCACATGCCGGGAAACGCACGACAGCCAGTGGCAGTTACTCTGGATTCACTTGATCAGCAGCTCAAGCAACAGGACGCCATTTTAACAAATAAATACACGCACGGATTGATGATAAACTCTACAGATTTATGAACTAAACTGAGAAAAGAAGTTTTACAGCAAGACGGCTCACCTCCTCTGCCAACATGAAGAGATAGTTGATCACATGTTCAGGTTTTCCCTCAAATTTCTTCCTGAGGACAGGATCCTGGGTGGCAATACCAACAGGACACGTATTGAGATGGCACTTGCGCATCATGGTGCAACCCATAACAATCAGAGGGGCTGTGCTGAAGCCAAACTCATCTGCTCCCAGCAGTGCAGCCACCAAAACATCAAAACCTGACAAAAAATAATAATTTGTTTGATTCGGTTTGAGGCAATTCACACCCACAGTGCAGACTCAATGATCATATTAACAAGGTCTATATTTCTCATTTTAAAACTTTCTAAATTCATAAATAAAATCCTGATGTTATAAAACAGACCATTTTTAAAAACTGTCACCCAGTCCTCTTAAAAAATAATAACTCAGTATTTTATTAGTCTAAGCAGTTCACACAAAGTTCAGTAAAATCTTCCTATGAAAAAGCCACATCAACTGGTTACATGAAGCAACCAATGTTTTGGGGAAATTTCCAACCCCATCATCAGATGGAGACGGCTCCCTAAATGTTTGTCACTTCGTGTAACCAGATGACACAGCTGACTGCCCGAGATTTTATCAAGTTTAGTCACCGCAAAAGCATCAAATCATAAGTCACACAAAATTGCAAAGTAACCCAAGAAAAGGTATTCTTACTACGTCTGACAGAAAAGGTTGCCCTATGAAAAAGAAGAGACTGTACACCATTGATTAAAAGGTGAAATTGCGATAAAATATCAGAAAACACATTACTTGCAATTTTTAAGATCAAAACAAAAACTTCTATACATAAATTTTAAATCATTAAGATTTACTGACCAGCTTGGAAGGTTGGTGTACTTGTAGCGCTCAGTCTTTTCTCTTCAAACATGACAAGCCTAAAACAGCTGGATCAAAAATGTCCCTCACCTGTTCGTATTTGTCCATCAGCCTGGAGCACAACCCTTGAACGAAGATTGTTCAGTACAAGCACCTGGTGTGTTTCGGCAACACCGAGCTCCCACGGCAAGCCTGCGTTCTTGATGCCCGTCCATGAGCTTGCTCCAGTACCACCATCATGTCCTGAGATCACAATGTGCTCTGCCTTTCCCTAAATAAACATGTCAATTGATTGACCAAGGAATTGCCAGTCATGCACACTTTGGCTGGACCTCGTCGCTGTCTAGCCAGCAAGAGATGCAATTTTATTTCTTAACTAAGAATACATAATAATACATAAGAAACAATACCCTGTAAAATGTAATTCAGCTTGAAAGGATCCCATTTTGATACTCAGAACAATGTGAAGAGAGTAATGACAGTTCATACCAACTTCCCTCTAAAAGACCACCTTGACCAAAAATGTGGAAAATGTGTTTGTGAGATTCTAACAAGCTCACCTTGGCAACTCCTGATGCTACTACGCCAACTCCAACTTCTGACACCAACTTAACTGATATCCTGGCATTAGGGTTGGCACATTTCAGATCATAGATCAGTTCTGCTAAGTCTTCAATGGAATAAATATCGTGATGTGGAGGAGGTGAGATGAGGCCGACCCCTGGCACGGAGTGTCGCGTGGTTGCTATTTCCTTGGTTACCTGTATTAGGTGACAGTAGAACACAATCTTTGTAATTTAACGTGTAACTTCTACTTCCGAGGACAGGCCACATTGGATGTTAAAAGTTTCTTCAGCATTTCAGCAAACACTGCAGTTTTCATCTGTTTTGGGAGTTTAGGAACCGTACATTGCAAATGGAGTGTGAAGTACATCGTTGCTATAATAAGTTTCTTTTCCACCAGTTGTTTTCCTTGACCACACGCTCACTCCCAACTGGACAGCACGCCATAGAAACAGTTTCTTGTTTCAATATGTATTTTTAAGATCCTGATTTGTGGATATCACATAAAATTCAAGCAAATTAATGATGTAACTCACTTTATGTCCAGGAAGCTCGCCCCCCTCTCCAGGCTTGGCTCCTTGTGCCATCTTGATCTGCAGGTCATCTGCATGAGCCAGATATGAGCTGGTCACTCCAAAGCGACCACTGGCAACCTGCTTGATGGCAGAGCGCTTGTTGTGTTCTGGGTCTTGGTCAAGGTACCTGTCAGCATCTTCACCTGCAACCATTTTGTTATCAAATCACAGGAGCAATCTTAACAACATTCTTTCATACAAAGAATGGTTTCTTTACCAAATACGATAATTCTCAACATGAACAGAATGTTAAGGAATGAACTGCCTTCATTTCAACATGCTAAATTGCTATATAACACTTTATTCTAGCACATCATTTTCTTCCTTCATGTGTTTGCAACACACTTTTTTTCCTTTACTTCAAAATGTCATAATTAACACATTTAAATTAGTAACACTGCTTCCTACATATTAACAATCACAAACATACAACACTTTGACCTTATATATCCAGTGCAAAGATACACATCCTCGTGAATTGCGATACCTAACAGAACTGTAACCTATCACACAAATGTTACATTGCATAACCTTCATGCAGTTACCTCCTTCTCCCGTATTGGATTTTCCTCCAACTTTATTCATGGCCAGAGCCAGAGTCGTGTGCGCCTCTAACGATATGCTTCCAAAACTCATAGCACCTGAAACAGATAATTATTCCAGCAGTCACGGAATACCATCGTCCTATTGGCAAAGTGAATTATAAACTCGCTACAAAAGGACAACTGGCACATCACCCAAAGTGTGGAAAACAATAAAACTACTGCAAATTTGCGGCATGTGTGCGGCAGTAACATTAGGTTCCCAAATAAGAAAAATTCATACATGACAATTTGAACCAACTAATTAACTACTGACGTTGGTCATCTATTGGGCGGGCGGGCAAGCAGGTGGGAAGGTAGGCATCAATGTTCTTTCAAAAATTAAGATGGTATCACAACCCAATACCAATGATAACTAAATATCCTGAACTTAACACAGAAAATAAACGAATACCAACACAAACACTCGATAAGAATCATGAACAGACCAGACACCACAAAGAACTACAAACTTAAAAAAATAACACCCGGGGATTGATAGCCGAGGAGACACGAAGATCAGTTCACAAGTTTTACCTGAGAACAGACAAAACTCACAGCGATCAGGTACCCACCTGTAGCAAACCTCTTGACTATCTCAGATGCTGGTTCTACCAGGCTGACGTCAATAGGATTATCTGATGTAACCAGTTCCAGCTGTCCTCGTAAAGCACAAGACTTGACACATTCCATTGTTGATTCACGGAAGCGGTCATAGGCATTGCTACTTTTGTTTACAGCTGCTTCCTAAAAGGTGAAACAATGTCGCAATTCCAAGTTGAACAAACAATGCTTCAAAGAATACCTACAAATAAAAATTACATTTAATACATGATTTATTTGAGTAGTATAAGAATGTTATGAAATTTGTATTTTGAAATGACATTCAGATCCACTAAAAAGGAGTATATCTGCAGTAACTTTGCATTCTACATTTTGACTGTTCATTATCTCCGGGCAAACTTCTGCCCGATAATCATGTTGACTATCCCCAAATAACCTAAGCGCGGGATTTGAATCTCTAGCTCCAACCTCTCAGGACGTTTCTCAAGTTAACAACCGGTAATTTCCTCTAAGAATGTGCTAAGAG